GGCTGTTAATTTACGGGTAAAATATAGTTAATAACTATTTTTTAATTTTAGTTTAATAGTAAAAATTAGACTAAAATTAACTTATAAATACAGAGCCTCTATTTATAACTATATTATAAAAGACTTTATATTTTAGTTTAATTTCTTAATAAAATAGTTCGGTCAGTTCTTCTGCTTGAATTATATATAATACTACTATAAAACAGTTTATTTTTATAAAATAATTAATAATTACTAATATTAAATTTATTTAATAATTCTAATAATATAGTTCGGATAATTCTATAATAAAATCTATAGTAATTTCGGCCTATAATCTTAATAAAATTAGTAGATTTTTAAGATTTTTATATAATTAATACCTAGCTGTAGTTTAATATTAGCAGATAAAATATATTATTATATAATCTTTTATATTATTTTAAAAACCAATCCAATAGAATTTTCTGCGGAAGAATTATTTAGTTCTATTTTATCTAAAATAATCTGCTAATAGATTATTATAGTATTACTATAATAGCTCTTAATATAAGTCTTTTATCTCTAATATATAAAGTCTATTTTTAAAATATAATAATCTATTTATTATAATTTCTTAATACTTAAATAATTTATTTTTCTTTTTCTGGAATTTAGAATCTTAATTTTAAAAAGTTTTAATCAAATTTCTTAGATTATTATTATAAATAGATTTATAAATCTTTTTAGTTTTATTTATACTTTTTATAGCCGTAATACTAGCGGATTATTTATAGTTTATTATATAAACCACAGTTTAATTAGCTAATTTTATATCGGTAATATCTATAGGCCTGCTTAATATTATATAAATACTAGATTTAGATCTCTTCTATAAAAATGTTTTACTATATTTAAACTAGGATTTTTTAATTTTAGTTACTACTAAAATCTTAAATATTATTAAAATAAATACTAACCAGTCACAGAGTACCTGTATAATATTATTATTATAAAAGTTTTTTACTAGCTTAAATAGTCTAAATAAAATATTAGCAGGATTACTTTTATTTAATTAATTTTTAATTATAAAGTTAAAAAAAGTTAAAATTATATATTAATATACTTAATATTTATTAACCTAGGATTAATTTATAAATAATCTAAGATTTATATAGTTAGATAGAATTTTAATAAAATACTAAGCCCTATTAAGATATTAATACTAATATTTAAAAAAATAGATAATAATAAAAAGTTCTTAATCTAAAGTACCCCAGTTAAGTTCTATACCCGAGAATTTTTTTAATTAAATAATAATTATATAATATTATTCTATTAGTTCCGATTAGATTAAAATACCTACTATTTTTTTATTATAAATATTGGTTTTGATCTGAATAAATTAAATTAGATTAAAAAAATACAAAAGAGAAGTAGTCTAGAATATATTAATAAATTAATAAAATACTAGTCTTTTATCTAGAACTAAATAATATATTTCTAGTTTCTTACTATTTTAACTTTTCTTTAGAAGATTTATTAAAAATAATACTAGTAAAGAAAAATTGCAAATAAATCTGCAGTAAAAATTATAAAATTTTAAGAAAATCTAAATATTATAATAGATAGTAGATAACAGTTATAAAATAATAGTTTTAATTTGGTTAGAATCTATTATAATATCTATAAAAAAAATAATATATTTAAGAAATTTAACTTATTACTAAAAAAAGAAGTATTTAAATAATTTAATATATAGATTAGCTTTTTATAGTTGTACCAGTACTTTCTTAATATATTTAATATATTTATATCTTATTATTAAGAAGATAAGAATATTGTTTAGATATATAATATAAATAACATCGAGAATATTATATAATATAAAGTATATATAGTTTTAAAAAGAAGCAGATATATTGGTTAAGCTAAATAGTATTATTATATACTTAAAGTAACTATAATATATATAAAATATAGTCTTTTATTTATTTTCTTTTTTAATACAGATATAATAATAAATATTTTAAATATTAATTTTATTAAAATATTTATATCCAACTAATCAGTCGAGGATTTCGGAAATTAAAAATAATAAATATTAATTTTTTACTATAATTTTATTAAATTTATAGTAATCTATATATAGCTGTAAACTTTTATTCTTTTTAGGTATAAAAAGAATAGGGGTTCTTATAGAACTTTTAGATAAATATATTCTTCTATTAGTAGTATTTTTATTAATATAATCTTTAAGTACTAAAAGTTTTTTTTTTAAAAAAAAATAAATAAACTTAAACAGAAGTAATTCGTCTTTAAGAAGATTAATAATATGATTTTTATTATAATATTTAAAAAAAATTTTAGATTAATTAAAAGAGAAGATATTAGTAAATTTAATTAGTTTTAGTAGAATAGAATTATTTTAATAATATTCTGATTTTTTATTATTATCTGAAAGCTATAGTTTTTTTAAGGCTTTAATAATTATATAAATATAGACGCAATTTCGGTAAGTCTTAGTAAATTTTTAAGAACTTAATTTCTAGATTTAACTAAATTTAAACTATTATTATTTATTTTAAAAAGATAAATAAATTTTGTAGTTAAATAGAGTAGTTATAAAAAGTAAGATTAGAATATTTTAAATAATAGTAATATATAATTTAATAAAATACTGTTGTACTTCTCTTAAATTAGTAATATTTAAAGAAATATTTTATATTTTATAGCTGATAACAGAGATATAGTTAATAGCTTTAAATTATAATAAAAATTTCTAGAATTTTAAAAAAAATATTATTATATAAATTTAATATTAATCAGATTATATACCGCATAACTATTAATATTTATATAGATTTTCTTAATATTAGATATTTATATTAATATTAATATCTTATTAGCTGTTTTTATTTTATAATACAGAATTAAGATAAAAGAATTAGTCTTAGTTTATTCTATTTTTTTATATTATTTTTTTTAGCTTGCAGTTCTTAAATTTAAATTAATTTTTTTTTTAAAAATATTAGTTAGCAAGATGCTTAGTATTATTATATAAGAAATATTATAAAACTTTTCTAACTAGATTAGAATAATTAGTTTTAGAATTAAAAGATTAAATATTCTTATAAAATTATAACTATTTTTATAATATATTAGACCTATTAGATTTCTATTTATATTTTTGTCTCTGTATATATAGATTTTAATAATAAATAATAAAAAATATTATCTTATCTTATTTTTTAGACAGTTGGTATATATATTTTTTAATATAGTAACTAAAATCAAAAAATAATTTTATAAAAAAAGTATAGCTGTATTTTTTTTTAATAGCTCTAGAAAAATATTATTCTAAAATATTAAGATAAGTATAAAATTTATAAAAATTTTAATTGTTTTACTATCAAGCTTGTTCTAGCTGGCTTATTATATTAGACTTAAAAATAATAATATTTTAGATAAAAAAAAGTATCTATTTAATAAAAATAGTTTATAAATAGTTAATATTTTTTTTTTGTTCTAGTAATAATTTTTTAAAATAATAGTATTATTTTTATTAATAAATTATACTTATATGACTTACAGCCTTAAGAATTTTATAATAGTTATTATAAAATTTAAATAATATTTTCTAAAAATTATAATCTAAATTATAAAACTATTTCTGGTATTTTTAAATATTAAAAAAAAGTTCGAATTATAGAATATTTTTAATTTTAATATTTATTTTAGATTTATTTAAAAAAAAAGTTTTTTGTTGCTAAATTAGTACTAATTTAATATTATTATATTAGATTTTCTATTATAGTTTAGTAATTTATTTTTTTAACTGCTAGTAATCTTATAACTAACTAATAGTATTTCTAACTGCAGTAAGATTTTCTACCGAAAAATCTAATAGCAAAAATAATAAACTATTAGTAGTAGAAAAAGTTTCCGATTTGGAACTGCTATTAGAATATAAGAATTATAGTAATATACTATATTTTATAAATAACTAAAAAAAAGAATTAAAATTATAAAAAAAAAAGATTAGTTAAATATAGAATAGTAGCAGTCTATTAATTTTAAGACTAATTTTTACTATCTAAAGGTCTAGTAAGATTCTAGAAGTTAAATACTAAAAAGAATTAGAGTTATTAATATTACAACTGTTATATGGGGGATGTGTAAATAGACCGTTAGCAACCCGCCATAGTTCCAGGGGTTATCTATGACAAATATATAGAAACTACCAAGCCGGATAATATTAAATTATATCAGAAATATAACAGTATTCTAATATAAATTATATTCAATATATACTTTTAATATTATATATATAATCAGCAACTTGTTATTCTTTATAATAAATTTTAATAAATCTTATTTTTAAATTATAAATCTTGTTTTATACTATTTTATAGGCTTATTAAACTATTTATTTTTTTATAAATATAAAGATTCTAGTTTTATTACCTATTATAATACTAACTAAACCAGTTTTTATATTTTTAATATTATATTAATTTTAGATTATATCTTTTAGTTTACTAACAGATCTGTTTTCTAGAATTTAAAAAAATAAACTACTATAATACTATTCTTTACTAAAAATAAGTATATTATTTAAGCTGTTATAATTTAAAAATTTTTTAACTTTAACTTCTATTTACTAAGTTAGATATTTAATACTTTAAGATTATATTTATATTAATAATTAAGTTTATTATAATATATACTAATAATTAATCTGCTATTATTCTAGCTAATAATTCTGAATTCTATATAAGAACTAAATATATATTTATTAAATAGTATTTTATATAGTATAAAGTATATACTAAGAATATTAAATTTATTTATATTAATATAATAAACTAAGCAGCCGACAGTCTTATAAAATCTTTTGAATATCTTATTTATTTTTATTTTATTAAACAGCTTGGTATAGTAGATTTTATCTAATATTTCTATATCTATATTTTTTTTATTTTCTGTTTCGAAAATATAAGCAGTCTTATATTTTTTTTTGGTATATAATTTAGTAGCGATCTTCTTGTTTATAGAGAGTATAACATATCTGGGGTTATGTAACCTCGGATCTTACTACCTCTTCGAGAAAGGGCCACATAGCTGTATCTATCTCCAATCCACACACTTATGTGCTCTGACAAGATTGCAGGTGCTCGGGCAGCAGCGGCCGGAATTCCTTATAAATAATAATTAGGACTGTCCCAATGAAGTCACGCCAGTTGGGGTCCCATGAGTTGTAGATCTGCGATCGTGCTTAGCAGGTGCCTGTGCTACACGTAAGGGAGGCTGTACCCACCACTGCAGGGTACACCGCAGTCCCCACGATCGGCTGCTCCGGGTACTTGGTATAGTCGCCGTACCACAGCACCGACGGGTTCTTCTTCTGGTCCCCGATAACATTTTCCAGAATGCGCACGGCCTCGTATACATCGTCGCCGCGATTGCGCTGCAACAACCCCGCCGCATACCAGACGCTCGACCGGGTCTCGTGCGCGCCCGCCGCGAGCGGGTGGTAGAAATAGTGCAGGTATGCGGCCGTCGGGTCGTAGATGGCGTCTTGGAAGACCATCGACTCGTCGAAGAGATCCTGTGCGTAGGGGTTGGGTGATGAGGGGGGAGAAAATGCAATGCGAAGAGCTATTATATGTGCATATCCCGCCGGAGAAATTTCACCGGACGTGGTCAAATCTCGAGTCCATGTATCGTGACAATCATTGTTCTTGGGCCAATAGTCATAATCAGGAAGAGAGAATGCGGGGCAGCACAACCCTCTTTGTGGAGATAAGATAGCTGCTGCTTCCCCGCACTCATCACTCCCGCCTGCATTACCCGCGATTGAGTTGGTTCTGGTCCGTGCGATCGTTTACTCCGTATGCTCCTCTTGGATGGCTGTGAAACATGTACAAAGCTTACTTATCCTTGAATCCTGCAAGCTTGATCTAATCTGACAGATCATGCTCCGAGGGCTTGCTCCGATAGGGTTGTACGTCAGATCGAGAATCCTGAAGTCTATCCGAGGATCTAAGGTTCCGAGCGTCTTCGGAGGCCTGTCATCCGAGAATCATACAATAATCATACAACACTGAGCCAGTCACCCCATCAAGCTGAGCCCCCTTGATGCGCTCTGACTAATGATTGAATGATCAATGGATATTTGCGAAACGACCGAACGCCACCATCGCCACGATATCAAAGAAAAAAAGCTTCCCATATCCACTGCGACACCGGACTACTGCCTCAATTTCCATTTCGCATACGCCTTCAAAGAATACCGCTGCTCAGTGACCTCGCCCAGATCTTCAACACAACCCGGGATCTCCCTATCAAACCTGCGAAAATTGTAGATGGCGGCATTGTCATCCGGAATCAAGTAATCGCGCAGATTAAAGAATAGCCGATAGATGGAAGAGACCTAACCACGGGTGCCCTTCACAGCCCGCCCAATGTTCAGAATCAGCGACCCAAACGGGGTGTAGGCGAGTATATGGCCATAGACGTTACCATCGCCAGTCCGACCAGGTTCCCGCACGCGGGTGTGGATATCCAACATGACCTTTATAATAAGCTGATTGATGTCCGGGATCACTTCGTAGGCAGCGGAGCGGTGTTGCTGCACGGCAAGCAGCATCCAGCAGAGCGCAAAGTCCGCGAGCACATGGTTGGGCTCGATGACTTTACTCGCGAACTTAGACCTTGTCAGCAAGGACTCCAGCCAGCCGCCGCCGAACTCCCGTAGAAACCGGAATCGCTGGCAGCCCCGGTCGTAGTGTACGCCGGGCAGCCATTTCTAACGCGTAACGCTGTACTGGTCCCAGTCCTGCGCGCGGTAGTACAAGTGGCCCCGACGTACAAAGCACAGCTGAAAGATCAACAGCCAGTCGTGGAGAAAGACGGCGTGGTGCACGTTCGCGACGACCATCGACATCTTCTGGTCGTAGAAGATTGGTTAATCCAGCCCCACCCCGCCGGTAAACACGGGAATCCCCAGGCTGCTGACTGTAACGAAGAGGCCTATGAACTTGATGGGCGGGATGAAGCGACGAGTCTTGGGGTTGTCGGGGGTTTTTATTGCCGACCAGCGGCCATAATTTTGTGCGTCGGAAGTGCAGGGATTGGACGGAGTGCAGCGCGTTAATTATATACGGCGACCGGTACAGATTGTAGACCGTCTCGCAGAGCAGACGCGTCTACTACCGATCGATTGATCCCCCTGCGGTTGTGATCGGGTGGACGATGCCGCAGTTGTTAATCATACCAGCCACTGCTCGGGGCAGGTACTCCCCGCGCGAGAGGCCGAACATCCAGATTTCGTGGTGGGGGTAAGTATAGTTGTGGACGATGAATTCGTAGGCCTTGATGCACTGGTTGGCAAGGTCTTGGGCTGTGGCTCCATTGAAAATGTAACTAGATCGTGTCTCAGCGACCGGTGCGCTGTGACTTCGGCTTGATGAAGAGGCAGGAGGACCTACTCGAGGAATGAACTGCCCAGTCCGACACCCTCGATATAGTGGACTCCTTCTGGAGTTTGCCACTCAGTGCTATCCTTCGTGATGCTTACTCCCACCATCTCTGCAAGCTTGTGAATGTTAGTTCTCGTGTTAGTCTCTCGACCACACCATGTGCCGTCGCAGAGGAGAATGAGCGGCTTGGTCGCCGTCTCCTTCGATGCTTCACGGGCCAGACTAAGCGATTTTCGCGGCTCTTTATCCATGACTCTTCAGAGAGATTATGGTGGTAGACAAATTGAAGATGTATTAGGATGGTGATCAAGAGATGATGGGGAGTGGAAATGGGAGATCATCGCAGCCACGACAGCCTGAATGGGAAACCGCACGGAACCACGGACACAGGACCGTGGACACGAACAGTGGGGATCTCTACAAAGAAAAACAAACCCTTTCCGCATCGCGCTTGGCAGTGAGCCCACTGATGCCCGATATCAAATACGATCTGGCATTCCCCATTGCAACGGGGTAGACTAGGTATGACGCATTTTCCAGCCGAGCTTGGACCCTGAATCAGTCAGCCACAGAAGCTGACGAGTTTGACTGCCTTGTGCATTAGTGGGCAGATAGTCTTTTTCCGGTACTCTTCCTACTTGATGATTCCGGGTCTGCATACTCTACGAATTGTAAGATTGTCATTGATTATTAGTCTTTTTGTACTATTGTTTAGGGGTCTTGATCATGATGATAGATAAAGTACAGGATGCGACGAGTGTACGCTGTTTGCACTGTTTGATCTCGCCCTATTGATGGTTTTTGATTGTTTGATGGAAAGCCGACAGCTGATCGTGGTTAATGCCGTGAAACTCAAGCACTTTATCTCAGTCGCCTTACCTCTAATTGTGATATAAACACTGATCCTGAAAGAAGAAAAGTCCTCATTAAATGTGATGCTGAGCGCGAGTTACTGGTGGGAAAGGTTGCGTCAGCGGGCAGTCGAACCCCGATCTATTGCTTGGAAGGCAACAATGCTAAACGCTACACCACTGACGCCGGTGATGTCTGAGTGGTGAAAGGTTTATTTTATAATCGCATAATGTTTAATAACTCGGGCAGATGGAATGGCAATTATTATATTGCGATGTCGTTTCGATCATATCTGTTAGACATGTTGGTATTTGTGACTGGGATTACTGAGTCTATGTCGTGATTAAGTTACGCTGATTCATGCTTGCATGGTACTCTCTTTTCAGTTCAATTTTATCATACTAGCGTACAATATGTCATTGGGGTTCCGTGTGCATACAATATATTTATAACAGGCTAACGGGGTCAGCATTCATATTCCCGGTCTCTTTGATAATGGTTAATTGTGAAGCATATTCTGGTAGGACTAGGTACCTGGCATCGTCAGGCAGCTCAGATTACACCGGGTGAAAATCCATCTTGTGAGATATCTTATAGATCTACGATAGGATGGTAGCTGTAGATACTAGATATTAGTATAAATCAAAGGAAGTATACCCGGCCTTTGACTTAGTACCTACTTGCGTCATATACTGAAAGAACAAACATACATGTTTCTCTATTGCTTCGTTCTCTCCCAGTTTAACTGATTTGGCTAGTATAATAACCTCTAGTCCGGTCAAGAGAACATAACATGTACAGCCGGTCAGCAACCCTAAGCCTCCGGCTTCCGTCCGATCACCGTATGTCTGGTAAACGCCCAGCACGAGCCCAACTTGGTCTCCCGCTCGACCTCGGGCATTAGCTCCTCCAACACCTGAGCGACCTGCTGGTTCTTGAACTTGCGGGCGAAGATGGCGTTGATAAGGAGATTGCAATCGTGCAGGGGGAGGGCGAGGTCCGGGGCGGCATCACGGGCGTCGACGTGGACCTCGTGAAAGCCGACGGCAGCCGCCTTGGCCGGCAGGCTTGGGACCCAGCGCGGACGCAGGCGAGGATCGTGGCCCTCAGAGATCTTGAGGAGCCGGTTCAGGGCCGCGGTCGGGTTGCTCGGCTCGGTGCTCTCCACCCGGAACGAACCCATGTCGACTTCGGTCCACTGGAGGTAGCCGCCGGGTTCTAAGGCATTCCCACGTTATCTTTGGTCCTTTTCCTTTACCCGGGCAAAGGAGGATCACATACTGAGAAGCTTGTAGATCCGTTCCAGCACCGGGCCCACCTCCTCGTCCAGTAGGACCAGGGTGAAATGGCGGATGTGCACCACATCGTAGACGCCCACGAGCTCGGCCGGGGGATCCTGTTTCACGTCCCATTCGATGGTGCGCATGTTGGCCGGCAGCCACGCCTTGGGCGGTACCGCGTCGAAAGAGACATCGAGTGCGTCCAGTTGCGCGGAGGCAGGCACGCGGCGGGCGATATCCTGGAGCCAGATGCTATACATGCAGAGAGTGCTCGGTGGTCAGTTGCGTGGTGTCTGTAACACTTTTCCACGGAGAGATAGAGAGACTGTACCCGGTACCGGTGCCAAGATCTGCGATCCTCAGATTGTCGCCATTCAAGGGGATTTGGGGATGGGTGTGGTATCCAAAGAGCTCAACGCAAAGGTAGTGATGCAGGTTCAACCTGGTACATCCATGAGCTATGGTCAGGCAAAGAACTACATTTTGTGGTCTTGTCTTTTCTTCTTCCCGCCCCCCCCCCGTTCCTCGCCCGACGACTCACCGGATGTTATCGAGATAATCCCGGGTCAGGACGTATGTGGGCTTTTCAGACATGGTGGCACTGGACTTTTGAGATTGATGAACTGGTCGAGGAGGATGAAGAGAGAGATCAAGTTTGAGTGAGGGGTAACAGAGGGATAAGCAGACAAGATGAGAGAGGGCTGGAAGGAGATTTTCAGGATTTATATACTCCGTATGTTGAATGGTCGAGAATTGAGTGCTGGGGGCAATCGGGAATGGTTTAGTTGGGGTTGGGGCTATTGTGGTTTGTGACATTGCCAGATCAGTATCACCTAAGTCTCACAGGCTAAGTCATTAGCTTAAGTCACCGGTTAAAAAACTCAATTTCCAGTTTAAGAGGGGAAGTGGGGAAACTTGAAATAGAATGTTTGGCCCCCCAGCCCCAGGCCCAGCCTACTTCCTGCTGTGTACTAGTTGTATACTAGTTGTATAATAGTCGTGTACTAAGCCACTAATACACCAACACTAATTCTACTCGGAGTACTGTTCTCGACTCCTGGCAAGTTGTAAGTCCCGTCCACCTGTCAATGTCAATCTGGAGTTTCAGTTTTTATCCCAAAACATATGAACATGTGTCCTGTTTTGCTAAAGCTGTCCTTTCCAGGACGCAGTCCGTTGGCGACCTTGTATCTCGTGGAAGCGAAGGGGGATACCAGTCTTCTGCAAGCACTGAGGTCCTGCTCAATTCCGTCCGCAGATGGCAGGCGCAGCGGCCCGTCCCTAAATTCCTATATTCCTCCAGTCCTGAATCCTCCCGTCCTCCAGGGCTTTTCTCCGGCGGCTTAGTGAGCCACCGGATCTTCATCCATATCGAGCATTGTCCATCCTGCGAGGCTTCGGGGGGAGGTGGCCCGGTGGAGACTTGGAGAGATGGAGACAGAGGCTATGCGAGAGAGAGAGAGAGAGAGAGAGAGAGAGAGAGAGAGAGACACGCTTAGCTTGGGGGCCAGGTATTCATTTCATCTGAAACCTGCCACACAAGCTGTATGTATGTATGTATGGTATTGTACCGTACATACTCACCTGTAGTAATCTTACAGGCCATGCCAGTTCGGTTAAAGAAGACCTGCAGTTGGTGAAGGTGATTGAAGTTATCTTAGCTATATTTAAAATATAATAAATTATATTTATAGAAAATTATATCTTAAAACAAAATAAACTATTTTTATATAATTTTCTATTTTTTTTTTTATATTTATTATTTGCAGAATAGTCTTAAAATTATAAATTAATTATAGTTATCTAACTTATTTTTAAAGAATATTATTAAGCTCTTTTTTTCTATTTTTTAGATATTTATAAATTATAATAATATTTAAACTAAAATAAGCTTTTTAAGTTAGATTTTTTTTTTTTTTAAATCTTCAGATTACGTGTGTCGCAAAGAATCGGAAGATTATTTTATATCTAACTTATAAAAAAAAATATTCTATTTTTTAAAATTAGTAATAGAAGATAATCTTTTTTAAAATCTATATATAAGCTTAAAAACTGCTATTTTACTTCAGTCGGAAGAAGATATTAATAATATAAAACAGCTTTTAAAAAGATATATTATTTTCTAATAAAATTTCTTATATTTACTATATTATTTATTTTTATATCCTATAATACCCGAAAATTAAAAACTTAAAAACTAGTTTTATAAGCTACTATTTTTGCAAGAATTATAAAAAAAAATACTATTAGTAGTATCTAAATAAATAATTAGTCAGATACTAAATAAAAAACTATTATAAATATTTATTTATTCTTTTAATATAAATCTTTTTTAATTATTATTTTCTTTAGGTTTTTATAGTTTATAATAAACAGAACTTTTAGAATTAAGTTTTATATTTTATAATTACCTGTTGTCTACTATTCTAAACTATTAAGTATATTTAATTTAAACAGATAATTAATCTTATAGTTTTATTTTTCTATTAAAAATTAAATTCCTCTAATTAAATACAGATTAAAAAATATTTTATAAAATTATTAAAAAATATATATATACAGCTGTTATTAAAGTTTTTAGATATTAAAAAAATATTAATTATAGTAGACTACTGGACTAGTTTTAATTAGAAAATATTTCTTATTTTAACTGGATATTTTTTAATAAAAGATATAGATTATTATAAAGTTCTACTAGGCTTCCGACCAGTATTTAAATCTTATATTAATAAAAATCTAGCTATAATTATTTTATTAGTTTTATATAAATATAATTTATTTTATTAGTTATTAGATATAACAACTGATAATACTAGTAATAATAATTTAATATTTAGTATAATCTTATCTAAATTTTGGATTTAGCTTAGTTAAAGTATTCAGCTTTATAATATTTTACTTAATTCTAATTTTATAATAATTATTTAAAGCTAGTATTATATATTCTGTTTTATTTATATAATTCAGCTTATAGTTAATACTCTTTTATAAAAACTTTAAATTAAAATCTTAAATAGTACTATTAAATATATATAAAAAAATTATAATAAAAGTCTTAAAATCTCTTCTAGTATTTTAAGAATTTTTAAAAAGATATATTCTAGAAGCTATCTATAAAAAACTAATATAAAAAACCTTTACTATAATAAAAACTATCTAAATTAATCTTTTATAAATAGATTCTAAAGATCTTTTTTTAATAATAATTAATAATACTAATTCTTAATTATAAATTCGGAAAATTATATAATTTATAAATATAAGTTTTTAATATTATAAAAAATTCTAGCTTATTTAATAATTTAAATTAAACTCGGTTTATTATCTTCTTCTTAACTATAAAACTTACTGGAACTCAACTTATTTTATAATTTACCGGATACTTAATCTTTATTAAATAATTAATAATTTTATTTAGTACTGTAATTATAGTAATATTAATTATTTTTATTCTATTATAATTAAGTAAAAATAGATAAAGTATTTTTTTAAGTTTTTATACTTCTTTTTTCTTTTTATATTATATCTATCTAAGAATAATAGGCCTACTGTTTATAAGATTTATAATATTTATAATAATCTTTTTAATTATTTAGATTACTTAATTAACCGACTAGTAAGAAAGCAGATACTTTAAAAAAAAAAATTCTTAAAAACTTATAAAATATATATTAAAAGCTTTAAAAATACTACTATTATATCTACCAGACAGAAGATTATATCTATATAATTATAATTATTCTAGATCTAATATTAAAGCTTAAAAAATTTAAAAAGAATATCTAGTTAGATAATAATACTAACTAATATCTTAAATACTGAACTATTTTCAAAAAAATATTCTATTTTTATTATAATTAAAATTCGGTTATTAATATACTATTAACTATCTTCGGATTACTGTTAGGCCTAGATAAAGTTTTTTATAATATTTTTAAATATTAAAAATTCTTACCAGCAGCCGAGACATTTAAAAAACTTAAAATATATCTAAATATTAAAAATATATAGTTTATTAAAATATTTTTAATTAAACTAATATTATTCTAAATACTATAGAATATACTAATATTTTTATTTACTAGAAATCCTACTATAATTAGTTTTCTATTTTCTATTAAATAATTAAAGATTTTCTTTTAGTTACTACCAACAGTATTAGTATTAAATATTTATTTAATAATTCTTAAGATATCTGTTACTATCGCCGGAACTGTCTTTATTCTAATATAATTAAAGTAGTAATACTTTAGATATATACTAATTATTTTACTATTAGTAAGAAGTACCAGAATATTCTTAATAATCTTAATCTAAATTTAATTATTTTTATACCTAAGAAATAAAAAGAAAATAAAATAATTATTATTTTTTATATTAATAAAAATAAAAATATAAATAATCTTAAAAATAATCCAGAAGATAAATTATTATTAAAAATAAAAAAGTTAATTTTATCTAAATTTTTAAATATTATATATACTCAAATAAAAATAGAGACCCGGTTTTCTTAATTTTTTTACTATTATAATTATTATTCTGAATAATATAAAAAATAATATAATCTTATTAGTTTATTTAATATTAAATTCTATATTTCTTATACTAAATTAGAGTGGATTAACCTGACCGTTATACCTTAACCTTAACCTGACCATAACCTGGCGGTCAGGTTAAGATACAAAAAAATTTTAACCGTACGGTTACGGTTAGGTTAAGATATAACTATTATTTTAACTATTTATATCTATCGGTTAGAAAGATCAGATATAGCAGATAGATTAATAACCGTAGGTTAATTGGTAATATATATATTTCTTTTATATAAATAATATACAAAGTATAATATATTTTTAATTATAGTATAATAATATTATTTAGATTTAGCTTATCTGCTTGATCTGTTTGACCTATTTAATCTATTTAATTTATTTAATTTGTTTAACCTGCTTGACCTCTTTTCCTGTGGTCCCGAGGAGTATACTATACTTTAAAAAAGATATTTATAAAATCTAGTATAAAAAATATAAAATTTGATATTAGATAAATTAATAAGATTATATTACTTTTTATACTGTTCAGAATAATAATTATAGTAGCGAAGAAATTAAGAAGGCCGGGTCTCTATTTCTATCTAAGTATATATAATATTTAAAAATTTAGATAAAGCTAGCTCTTCTGTTTTTAATAATAATCTATCTTTTGAATTATTTTTAAGATTATCTATATTCTTATTTTTATTAATATAGAAGATAGTAATTATCTTATTCTTTTCTTATTTCTTAGATATAAAGATAATCGAATCCGGATTAAGATTATTAAGAATATTCTAGTATTTCTTACTAATAGTAAAATAATCGGTATACATCTAAAGTATTATTACTTTAATTATATTAGAATAAAAACAGCTTCGGCGATAATAGCAGATATCTTAAGAACTATTAAATAGATATTTAATACTAATATTATTAATAGCAACTAAAAGAAAATCTCTAGTTATCTAATAAAAAATAAAAAACTAATTACAACAGGACTTTTAGTAAGTAAGAATATTAGTATACTCTATAATATCTAGAACAGTATTAATTTAATTAAAAATATTTTAATAAATTATATATTTTTAATATCTAAATATATCTTAAGTTTTTTAAATGTTTTGGCTGCT